CGCATTGATTATCAAGGTCTTAATGAAATTACTATTAAGAATCATTACCTAATTCCTCTGATTAACTCTGCTTTTGTCCAGATTCAGGGAGCTAAGATTTTTACTAATCTGGATCACCGTAATACGTACCATTTGGTAACTTTTTATGAAGGAGATGAGTGGAAGACAGCATTCTTTACAGGGCATTATGAGTACCTGGTCAAGCCTGTTGGACTCAGTAATGCTTCAGCGGTCATCCAACGTTGGGTAAATGATTGCTGTGGTTCAGCTTGTGTTTGTTTATCTGGTTGACATTATTATTTACTCTTGGGATCTAGAGTCCCACAAAAAGCATGTCAGCTCTGTTCTGTTGCACCTCATGCAGAATCAGCTCTTTGTGAAAACCAAGAAATGTGAATTTCATGCAGAAACTGTCTTTCTTGGGTTTTTTGGTTTCCCTGAACCATATTGCTATGGATCCAACTAAGGTGGGAGCAGTAACCGACTGCCCTGTTCCTAGGAAAGAACGCAATGAGAGTAATTCTTGGGGTTTGTTAATTTCAACAAACGATTTTTATCAGAAACTATAACTATACTCAGGTGTACTGTACGCTATAAAATATAACTCAGGCAGCTGCGCCCCTTCATACCCTAACTCAGATCAAGTACTGTTTGAATGAACAGGCAAAGAAGAGGAAACCACCATGGAGACCCAGGCTTAACGCCCAGATCTTCACAGTGATCAAGGCTAAGTCACAATCGTTGACATTTGTCTATCATATATATATATATATATATATATACATCACAATGTGCTGGGTGGGGCTCCATCATACGTTGTTTAAAATGATTAATTATAACTTATTATATTTTTATTTCATATGTAAACGTGATGATGAGTGGTATATAAGATTATGCACAATATATTATTCTTAAAATCCTAGGTAGATTTTGGTAGGTTAGTTGGGTATTGCTGTGAAGCAGCAGCTCGTGCCACCTAACGCGTGTCATGCACTATACGGTAAGGAATCCGCCAGTAATGTGCTCAGCTACGCACAACATGTTTAATTCCTCAAACTAATGACATGATTTGCCTTGAGCAGTAGGCGAACATCGGAATCATGGGGGAATTGCGGGTGGGAGCGGAACAAACTATTACAGGTGTGGGCGGGAGCGGGACTGAAAATCATAATTCTTTGCGAAAGCGACACTGAACACTGCGGGAGCGGGGGGGCGCGGGACTGGAAAATCTGTCCTGTGCAGGCCTCTACTACTGAGAGCTGGAGGAATGCAAACCCTACACAATGGACATTGTATAAAGAGGTATAGAGTTTGGCACAATTAGGGACAGGTTCTAGTTAAACAATATGTCTTCTGATGATTTTGATCATTTCATGTCTTCACTGATGAGTAAAGACAAAGATGACTGGATGGATAACATAGCTCTGGTAATATGTTTTGAACTGTTGCTAATGCTTTGACAAACTTTATTTCACTAAGGTAACTAATGGTTTCAACATGGTTGATGTATGGAAGTTAGAGGGGCTCTCTGTAACCACCAACCCCCAGAAGAATGTCCCAAGCTTAGTTTGTTTGTTCCTGACTTTTTGAGAAAAAGTGTTTTAGAATTCTTTCATGGTTAATTAGGTTAATCAATTATGGTGGCTTTCTCTGTCTGCTGATGTGTAGGAGTTTGTGGCAGCTTGTCCCCTTTGCAACCAGTCCAAAACATCGAGAAGATCCAATCTGGCTAAATACGAACGCTACATATTCTGTCCCGACCTAGTCCAATATTGCCATGGATTTCATCAAAAGTTAACCCAGCTCAGAAGGCAACATCTTTACTCTGACAATCATTAACAGGTTTTCTAAGATGGTCTATTTGGCTCTGCTGCCCAAACTCCAGTACGGTAAGAAGATGGGGGACATTCTCACCCGAGAGGTATTCTGCCTACAAGGTCTCCTGAAACACATAGGCTACGTTGACACCGCAGGCCTTGATGCTCAATTACGATTTTTTTTTTGTGACATCCGATTTTTTGAGTTGCCGTTCATTTTTCCAAATATATTTGACTTCTATGTGATCTCCTGTGTGAACTGCAGTCATACAATGCAAGTGTCCCACATGCGCTGTTGAGGACGCAATAACGTCACACGCCAGCGTGCTCTGTGTTCACGGAAGTAAACATGGATGGTAGTGCCAGCGCGCATCTTGCGATCTTTTCAAACCATAAAAACTAATTCTTTTCAATATGGTTAAACATAAATACTGCCCTCTGCATTATCGTCCGCCATGGTTGTTGTTTTTCTTGCCGCATCTGTGTAGGAAGACCCAGAATAGTGACCTTTGTCGGATATGGCATTCAGGTCGGATGACTGTGACCTGGCCGTTCAGACACAGGTCGCATTTGAAAAGATCAGATTTGTATCGGATTCAGGACCACATAAGCATGTGGCCTGGGTCAGACTGGAAATAATAGGATCTGTGTTGTTCAGACTGCCATGAAAAGATCAGATCCAGCTCGCATATGGGCCAAAAAAATCAGATTTGGGTCACTTCAGGCTTCAGTGTGAATATACCCATGGTCTCCGACAGGGGTTCCAAGTTTATGTCCAAGTACTGAAGAGAATTCTGCATCATGCTGGAGATCTCTGACAGCCTCTCACCAGGATTCCACCCACAAACTCACAATCTGACAGAGAAGGCAAATCAAGAGGTGGAGACCTCACTATGCATATTGTGTGAGTCAGATCCCACTAACTCGTCCAGCCAACTTTCCTGGATCAAACATGCTTTAAATTCTACTCCTAGAACCACTGGGCTCTCTGCATTTTATGCTGTTTTTGGTTTTAAGGCGTTCACCATCTAGGAGAAAGATTATAAAGTTCAGTCGGCCCGCTTATTACGTTTGAGTTGCCAGCTAGCCTGGAGGAGGGCTAGGAAAGCTATCAGCAGTGCATCAGAGAGCCAAACCAAAGCTGTGAAAGGCCGGTGCACTTCAGTTCATTCGGCCATTCCCTATTACCAAAATGGTGAACCTGGTGGCCGTCTGCCTTCAGCTCCCTTGTTCTATGAGGAATTGCCCCAACTTCGGGTCAAACCCATTGCTACTTCAAGGTAGTACCTCTGAGCCTTCCTGTTCCCATTCTGATTTGTTTGCCTGACCTGTCCTCCAGCTCCTGCTTGATTTCTGCTTGTGTACAGAACTTGGAACTAAGTCCTGACACCATCCTGGATTTTCGGTATTGAAGAGGCACAGAAGGGAAATCAAAGAAGAAGGGGCTAATGTTCATTTAGCAAAAGCCCCTGCTATCAGCAGGCATGAATGAGAACAAATGTCCCAAATTCACAAATTTTTACATTTATTTGCCCCATTAAAGCTGTGGAACCACTGAAGAGACTGGGCTCAACTCCTTCAGAGCTGAAATAAAGAGCTTATAAAGCCCTTCTTTCAAAGTATTTATACTAATAACAGAAAAAATGATTAGGTAAATGATGAAGTTTTAAGAAAAGTCCAGAAGCTCTGTGTTATAATATAAACCCCACAAATGTACTGCAATTTTCCTTACAGGAAGTTCTAATGGAAAAGGCTTTACAAATGGCTTACATGCTCAGTGAAAAACAATAAGCTTTCCCCCCCCCCCATTAATTTTATATCTTTATCTCTCTATCCTTCACTATGCATATATGTAATTAAATACTGTACGCTAATGTTTCTTTTTTTTCAAGTAAGGGATTGCAGTAAAATATTGCTGTCTCATTTGCATTATTGTTTGTAAAACTTTGGCAGCCAAAGGCTGTCTGGAACATAAGGCAGGCTTGGTAAAGTTTGCCTGGGGAAACTAATATGACTAAGTCTACTGCTTATGTGAACATAATGTTCACATATTCCAGTTTGGCCTCAGGTATACAACTATTAGTACATTTTACACCTGAGTACAAAAACCTAGCACCTTTTGTTTCCATATAGGTATCTCACGTGAACTGCTACACATTCCTACCTTTTAATTAACATGCGGCCTCCTTAAAGTGTAAACCTTATATCAGTTTGAACAATTGACAGATTGATGTCACATGCATACAATCTTTTTTCATCACAACATGTTCTCTTAAAGTCAAGAGAGACAACGCCCTGTCAGTTGGTGAAAAATTAAGTATGCACATACCTATGCACAGATAGCAAAATCTTTTATTTAAAAGCTTTTACTTTTTAGGCACAATACATTTTATGTTATGGTTATGTAATTATACAGTTCCAACCTGCTGATTCTATTTTTTTTTATATTCTACAAGCTGTAACTGTAAAACTGGTTTAATAAAATAAAGCTTTACATGATTTGTGGTTAAAGAAAGCCTCAAAGAACAGGGGGAACAATGTTTTGCTCTCTCACTCATTTCCTACCCGAATGAACTGTAGCTGTCCTGACAAGCCATACATACTTTTGGAATCCGCTTCCACATTTCTATGCTTCCTCTGATGTAATTTATCTCACTAATACAAAAAACAGCTAAACCCAAGTCTTCTTTACTCTGTAAAAGCAGACACACCAAAGAGGGCTTTCAGTGTGGACACACAGCACTTAATATATTTGATTCTCTCATATAAAAAAAGGTTTATTTGTTTCAGTCTGACATTTATGGCTGCTGAGGCAGAAATTGGTCAACTTTACTTTGCTTTTTTTGCTTTCCTGGCCAGCCAGACTGAATTACACAGAGCATTGTACAGTTTGGTAAACCGCCGTTGACTCCAGGCAGATCTGACCGGACTAATCACACCGTTGGAGGCGGGACTTTATGATGCATCACTCTCAACATCTTTTCGCTAGTACAGCATAAGGACAACCGCAACAGAGCAAGGTTTTAATGATGCCTTTTCTGATGTCCTAAGTGAGTCTGAGCCAACCTAATGTACTAAACAAAGGATATCTTTACTGGCATTTCTTTTAAAAAAGACATATTTAATCTTTTCATACTTGACATGTTTCGTGGATTACAAAATTACAAAAAACAGAGTGCATCACTTGCAGTTTCTGTTTCATATAGGTAATTATCTGATTAATTCTAACCTGACGACACTGACCCTGTTGGTCCCGCCTTTGAAATGCAGCCCTATCAGCTCTTTACCACTTTGATATGTCGTGTAAAGGTTGTAGTAGTCTGGCTGGCAAGGCTACTTGTATGCTATTGCTAAACCAAATTTAAGCAAAGTGGTTTGTGTATTTAAATTAGGCTAATTAGGCTTTCTGAAATCTCCTTGAAAAGTAGTGTCAATGGTCACAAGATCAGCACATATAGCCCAAAAAGCTTTGTAAGAGCTCTCCTTGCAAAGCATTATGGGATTTGTTTTGAGAACAAGAGAGGACAAAGAGGCATTGTGGAGGGAGTCGGGGTCATGTGACCAACGGGGAGCGAAAGGTATTGGTCATCTAACTGAACATTCAGTTAACATAGTGCACTATCAAAACCCCTATATAGTCCCAGTTCTATATAGTGATTGAGGGGTCTTGGGGTTATTGCTGATGTTCGGGCACAGCATCGGAGTAACTAAGTGGTCGAAAAAAAGGTTGGGTGAGGTGTCCCGAAATATGTATTTCCTAATTGTCCCCTAGGTTTTTATTGGTAGTAAATAAATTTTTGTGTACCTTATTGAAAAGTGTTACGCTAATATCTCTGATTTTGAAAATGATTTTAATGAAACTTGTGATTATCTAGCGCCCACCACATTAACATCGTCCTTCGACATCAAAGGATCATATTCTTGCATTCAAGATAGTTTAATGTTAATATAATCAATTACAAAGAAAGTAATTGTTATTGATTGGCAGTAAATAACATGTTTAAAATCAGCCTAATTTAATCATAGATGAACCATAAAAGGGGCCAACCCATTACCCATTATAGGAAGTTCTACCAGCAGTGATTAAAAACAAAACCACAACAACAAAAACATCTTAATTCTAGTCACTGTTGCAGAATATCAGTATCACTTCGCAATACTGCATGCAACCTTCATAAAAGAAACCTTGACTGGTCTACATATTTTACAGTTATTGCATTCAACACAAAAGCATGATGACTACCAGTTTTGATAACTACAGTTTTTGTCTAACATGGTATTTTTCTTATTACTGAAACTGTCATTCACAGTTTGCTGTCATTCTCAGGTCTGCTTTGGCACCTCAACCCCATTTTGTGATCCAGTTCTTTGAAACAGCTTAATTATCTTTTTGTCGTGAAGGCTCTTCCATAAATTCTTCTCCATAATGTAGTCATGGTTGCTATAGAAAATTACATTTGTCTTTAGGTGCCTCTCAGCATAATAGTTGGAGTACTTTCTGTAGTCTTCTGTCATGAATCCATATGCACTCACCTGAACATGACATACAAAAAAAAAAGCCAGAGAAAAGGGTATGATAAGTTATTACATCTTGTAACCAAATTACAAAAAGGGGTAAATACAAGTCATATTCATATACACAGCGGCTTAAATAAAAATTCTATTTCTTAGTGTTTACCGTATATGGTTAGAGAAAAGGGATCTGATTATTCTAATGTATAATGACCATGCCAAAAGTAAGGTTTTATAAGACCATAAAAAAAAAACAATAACAAAAAAATCACTTTAATGGTATTTATTTTGGCAATAACAGACAAACAAATGCAGCCCTCTCAAAAGCCAATGTGAATTACTACAAAAATTAACTTACTGTGTCACAAGCGTGCAGGGCTGTAAATATAGCAAATGCCCCATTAGTTGGGCGGACAATTGCCCAGTATCCTCGGTTGAGATTGGGTGATTTTAAAAACCTGCAAGGTAAGGGAAGTGTTGTTATCAAAGGTAGATTTAACATTTTATTTAATTAGCTCTTCATTAGAGATGTACCAATCCGCATTATGTGGCTGATTTTCACTCTGTAAAGGTTTAACTTTCCCATACCAATATTTGCCTAACTAGAGTAGGCAACTAAAAATCAAACATATAGTAAATTTTTAAACATTGTCTCATGAATCATTCAGATCAAGACTAAATGCTTACATTTTAAATTGTTGTTTTCTAGCATCTTATGGTGGGGGCTAGCAGGGAAAAAAGGCAAGATTATCTTTGTTTATTCCAATATAGATGCTTCCTTAAACTCAGATTTCTAATAAACTGATAACATTTACAAACTCAGCATGTTCTCTGAGCAACAGTGAAAAGTTAAAATGGATAATTTCTGTGCTTTTTTTTTTTAGTTTAGTCTAAATCTGAAAATGGAATATAGGCTAAACACAGGAAAAGCTTAAGGAAAAAAACTAAGGAATTGTTTAGTTAGAAAGGGTATCCCTTTAAGGCAATGATGTTTCTATATTTAAAAAGTAACAAAAACATAATATTATGTACAAATTTTGCATTTTTTATAGTTCATGCATTATAGTACATGCAAAACCTTTTTGGGGGGGGCATGGTGTAAGGGCATGGTGGACAGCTCTAGGGATAGCCTGCAGCCCTGTGACTGCTGTTTCTGCAGAGTACAGCTTTTTCAAGCAGAAATTAAGAGATCTTCTTCTTTGAAACAAGAAAGACTGAATGAACTGGTGGTAATTAGTACTTATCTATATACATATTCCCCAGCTCTGACATATATGAACTTGCAGTAGTAAAACTCGCTCCACCACAAGAACAGGAAACAGGAAAAGCAATAATTTCCCCATAACTTAAATTGAGCAACTCAAGCTGCAGGTACGCCTCAAGCTGCCTTGTTTTCATCTGCAGTCATTTCGCTCTTTGCAGGCTGTCGTCAAGATTTGTTGACACTGTTATAGCAGCAAAAAACTCAGAGGGATCTGTTGTCAGCTTTCATAAACAACGTAATAATTAAAACATGTCCATTTAGAGGCTGCACTGCTTTTAATTTGATTCCACATTTTACACTCTTTTATTTCCTATTTAAAAGTTATAAGGTTTCATTTTTCTTTTACGTAAGGAAAAAAAAAAGATGCCTGGAAACCCTACAAAGAGGATATATGAATCAGATCATGCAGCACGACTAACCTGTTCCGTACATATCGCAGAAAGTCCTGGTGTAAAACATAGAAGCGGCTCTCGTTGTACTGTCCTGAGTAGTAGGTTCTGGGGCTGTAAGGGAAAAGAACAAAGATGACTGTCTGTAAAAATGTGACAATACTAACATCAATACAAATATGTTGTAAATCTCTGATGCACAGCAGTTATTGATTAGCTTTTTCCTATGAACAGAACTGAGAGGATAACTGTTTTCTTTGAAACACTTTCTGCCTTATGAAGACTGACACAGATCTTAATTTACTTAGCTGCCACGTAACAAAACAAGTTCAGGCTCTGCTCCGTAGGGTCTGAGAGCACAACATGATTATTATTATTATTGTTTTGTTTTTTCTATAATTTTCTGTTTTTTGTACTTTTTTTTTGGGGGGGGGGGATCCTCTTAGTTATTTTTCTGCCATACGCTCTCTTCTTATTAAGCTTATTTATTATTCTGGGTAGCTGATCTCTGACCATTGGCTTGACGGATAGGCCAATTTAAAAGTTGCTCTCTATCTGCTGGCAACTGGCAAAATGTGTCAGCTGCCTTTTAACGCTCAGGGTGAGTCTGAGTTGATGACGTAGTCTGATGTTCACCCTTTTCACAAATCCGGTGGCCAATGTGTGAATAAGGAGGTAAAATATAAAAAAAATAAAAAACAATAAAATTGACCATGGTAAACAGCTACTCTGAAATACTGTAAGACTTTTTCCTATCAATTTACAGTAACTTACTTTACGCAGCTTTGCCGGTTAACTACTGTATTATTAATATATTATTAGTATTTCTGAAGTTGAAAGGGCTTTTTCTGAGCTAAAGAAAAGGTTTTCCAATGCCAAGATTCGGAATCCAGAGAAATATATAAGGATGTTATGTTATGTTCTTTCTTGTCCAGTGTGTGCCCACAACAGCGCTAGTGAATTTTGTCTCTAGACTAACATCATCTAAGGGTTTCAACACCATCCTAACTATAATCGACCTCTTCTCCAAATCCTGACACCTCATCCCTCTTTTTCGATCTGATGGTTTCTACTTGAACCCCGTCAGTGGAGACAAATTGACGTTTGACTGATCGGACAAGGATTCTTGCCCCCCAGTACTCGCCTGGATAAAAGGTTTGGCTATAAACTCATGACATTAAACTAAAGGCTTCTATTTGCAAATTATCTCCTTGATTAATCGTGCATTTGAAATCCAGGCAGTGTGCCATCGCTCTGCGGTTAACCTCAAGCATCCAGATGATTAATAGATTCATCCTGTTTTCCAAGCTTCTCTATTTATGCCTGTCCTGTCTAGTAAGTAAGTAAGGAAATAAATCAGTCATCTATTTTCATCAACTAACTCCTTCCTGATCAACCTGCTTTCTTTCCTTGGACCAACCGCTGCAGTTTTCTGCTTCCAGATTATTGTAGCTTTGAAAATAAAACCTTAAAATTCATTGGTTATCCATGTGATCCTGGATTTAGCAAAAAAACAAAAAAAAAAAAACTAGAAACCAACATAAAATATTGTTTGCTATGGTTTCTTTTTTCCCCATTTTGAAAATGCAGAAGGTTTTCTTTACACATCTGTAACATGGGTGCCAGTAGGGATGGAGGATAGTTTACTTTTCAACACATTTATTGTCTCATTATCCTGTTTTTATTCAAACATAGAGGGAGGTGTTTAAAATAAAACAAAATAAGATGTTCAGATAAGTAGAGCTAAATACACAGGTATTTTAGTGAGACCCAAAAGATGGTTTAATAAAGATATATGCAACAACATATATTTTAACCACCCATATAAACTAATGACATATCAAACGGATATGTCTTTTATGATTATATAGAGCTGCTGTGGTGTTTGTCTTCTCAACATTCAATCGATCAATCGTATGCACAACACAAATGATCAAATAGAAATGTTTGCAAAGGTTAGGTACTATATCAGTATTTCACCATATTAGAATATATAAGCTTACTTGATTATGGTTTAAAGCTGTTGTAAACCTAAAATCAAGTTTTTATGGGAATTAAAAAATACACATTTGTAAGTAACAAGGGTTTACGAGGATTGTGAAACTAATTCTATGGAAGAGATCCAAAAGATGAGTAATTAATTTCCAAGAGGTGACACCCAAATTGAGAAACACATATTTTGAAGTAGAAAAGCAGGTTTACAAGGATTGTGAAGGGATCTAAAAGATGAGTAATCAGTTTCCAAGAGCTGATGCCCACAAGCAGTGTTGTGCATGAACGCGTTCAATCATGGGCATAGGTTTGCATAGGGACCATAGGGACATGCCCTTACCAAAAATTTTGGACCGACCTACATGTCCCTAGCAATAATTCGATGTGAACATGTTTATAATTTACAATCCAGCGTTGTTGAAGCAGTCGCTTCTTTTCCTCTCGAAGCTCCTCAGCATGTGCGCCCGTGCGTGCTTGGAGCGCGAAATAAGAAAGAAATTACGCTAGAATACGTGGTTTACCAAAACTAATAATAGGCTACGAAACTAGTCCCAATTAAAAAACTACGCTAAAACTACGCTAAAGCTTCTGATTACAGTTCTGTAAAGAAGCAGGAGAGTTTCGATTTGTGGAACTTGAAAAATGTAAGTAACCAACGTTAGGATTTCTTTTCTAAAACTAAATATTCTGAGTCAGGCAGGAGTTCTGAAAACTGCTGTTAAAATGGACAAGCAGAGACTGTAAGCTATCACCATTTCTGATTCCCTTTCACCAATATTTCTTTGCTGTTACTGTTATCATTTTTGACGGCAGTTCAGGTATAAATAACAGGTGTTATTTCTTTTGTAGAACATAAAAACACCAGAAGGATGCTAAAGATCTCCTATTTTTTTTGTTTTCCACATTTAAATAGTGCTATTTAATTAACTTCTACTTCTAGAAATAGGATAAAAACAAACGGAGGAACTCTATTTACATTGATTATATGTTTCTAGATTTCCACAAGGTCCATAAGTAAATTAGCACAAACATTAATGTCTGGTAAATAATGCTAGAATCTGGCTGTTTATTTTGGATACTATTACATTACAGATAAGATAGTGTTAAATTGTCTTTTGTAATTGTTAAAAGTGATTTTATATTTGAATAAACTTAGGCTCATTCATAGTGTTGTGCTATGTAGATGTGCCACTAAAAAAGAAGATAGACATAAGGAGCTATTTAAACAATCAGACAGTAAGCAATATAGGATGACGATAAAAGTTTGTGTTACATTTAATCCTGTACTATTAAAAACCCGCTTGTATAATAGAAACATTATATGATTGTAGGAAACACAGATATAATGATGCAGGGCAGCCTCAAGGTAAAGCAGTTGGCCTTCAGTGCTGTATGATGGAAGAAATGTGTTTGGAATTTTACCATAAAATTAGGGCTGCAACTAATGATTATTTTGCAAATTAATTAATCGGTTGATTATTTTTTTCAATTAATCAATTAATAATCAGATAGCCAAAGGTTACTTAACTTTTACATTTTTTTATGAAATTAAACCAGGTGAAACAGAAACGTTTCCTCTTGAGGAGTTCTGGATGGAGAATATTGACAGAAAAAAACATTTTTTTTTTTATCTTAAATGCAAAATGTTTACATATGTTTTGCAATCTTGCTATAATTCCTGCTCTAAGTGGGTCGCTCTGTCGGCTAAAGGCACATTTTAGTGGCCCTATACTCGAGTTAATGATTAATCAATTACTAAATTACTTGATGATTATTTAAATAATCAATTAATATAAACAGAGGATAAATTCACATATAATAGACACATTTAGACTATAGTTGGTTAAATAAACACTGTCTTAGTCGCTGGTAGGTTTAATTGCAAACCTTTTCAAAGTGGAAAAAAGTCCTAATTCCCCATTCGTCAGAGAGAGTGATGCTTTAAACATTGATAAACTGCATCTAGTGTGTATAGTGCTTACAGTATAAGATTTGTATTGATGTAGCAATAAATGTTGTCCTTAAACAAAATGTGCCCTGATATTCAGATTAAGCATGAAAAAGACCATGCATATTTTTGCTTCGGACCAATAATATCAGACCACTGAAACTGAGACCAATAGTGTCCTTACCAAAGTTGAAATCAAACCTATGCCCTTGCGTTCAATGAACAGTAACATTTTTCATTGGATGACATGAGGTTTTATGCCACTTATTACAGCAAACAACCTGACACACCAGCATTCCTACTGTTAGTTATAGTCTGCGTGATTCAGACTTTTCTACTGGGATTTCTAATGCCAGTTTTGCAGTGCGCTTGGTGGAGTTTTATGAACTAACAAAGGAAGACTCTGACAGACAAAACCCATATTTTTGTGCAAACTGTGCCTACCTGGACACTTGGGCACATCACTTAAAACTTAAAACGACACATCAAGTTTAATCATCCCAGCAACTTGGGAAATACCTGCTACTGAATGGGGAATTTAAAATAAAAAAATAACAAAAATTTTTTCAATTTTGAAAACTAAAGTGCTTTCTGAACTAGAGAACGACTTTCACAACTTTTATAAAACACCTGAATTTTTTTTCTTTTTTTACATGGCTTAATTTTAGTTAGATTTTTGGATTCCTGTCTTTGTTTACTGTTTTCATCATTAAACTGCAAGAAATCTCCTCAGCCTCTGCCTCTGCATTTGGGTCCTCTAAACCAGTGTTTTTCAACGCTGGTCCTCAAGGCACACTGCTCTGCATGTTTTGGATGTTTCTGAGCTTCAGCAGACCTGATTCAGATTATTGCAGTTCAGCAAAGCCTGATAACCTGCTATCAATTGATAACAGGTGTGTGAAAGCTAGGAAACATCTAAAACATGCAGGGCAGTGTGCCCAGAGGACCAGGGTTGAAAAACACTGCTCTAACCCACAACCAAACCCTGACAGTAGGAACCAACCAAAATATGACCATGCAGAGCCCAGTCTGGACACCCTGAGGGAATTTTTTCATCAACCTAGGGAATACTCTTGACTCAATAGTCAGTGTAACACCACCTTGGAATGGGGTGAGTGCGGCTGGCCAACTGGAACAGATTCTCCACTCTAACTCCTCACTCCTATCTCCCCCAGTGTTATCCAAACTGTTTGAAGAGTTGGAGTGGAACCATCAAGCAGCCAGCGCCCAACTCTTCAACAGACCTCCAGCACCCAAACCATCACTTTATCTCCTTCCTACTCTGTTGTCAATTGCCTACAATCCTGTTCCTCCACCATCACAAGCTGTTGGTCCTCCCCTGCCACCTGCTTCATTCAGGCGTAAGCGCCGCTGGGGGAAGAAGACTACTCCCTCTACAGCAGGTCAGCCTGATGCCTCCACTCCCTCTTCGGCGGGTAAGCCTGACGCCTCCACACCCTCTCTGGCGGGTCAGCCTGATGCCTGCTTCAATTTCCCTCTTCACCAGGTAAGTTTCCCCTATGGCCTAGGTCGTCACCTCCATGACCAGCAGTTAGATTCTTGTGTTAGGTTTAAATTCAGTCGCCATGATTACACCCCCCTGCAGTCAGAGCTCCCCATATTGAGGAGTTTGAGTAACGGGACTACTTTTATGGGTAAAGAGAAGATCTATTTCCCCTTCCTACCACCTCCATCAGCTCTCCACTATCCAGCACTTCCCAAGCCAGAGCCCTGTAGCGGGCCAGATTCTGAGCCAGAGCCCTTTAGTGGGCCAGATCCTGAGCCAGAGCCCTTTAGTGGGCCATTTTCCCCAGTGCGAGAGGCCATTAGCGGGCCAGTTAGCCTAGCGCCAGAGGCCATTAGCGGGCCTAATCCAGAGCCCATTAGCTGGCTAGAGACCCCTGAGCACGCTCTTTGTTGTCCAGAGACCCCTGAGCGAGCTCCGGCCATCCAGAGACCCCTGAGCGAACTCTGTGCCGTCAAGAGACCCCTGAGCCCTCTCTGTGCGGTCAAGAGACCCCTGAGCCTGCTCGGTGCCGTCCAGAGACCCCTTAGCCTGCTCTGTGCCATCCAGAGACCCCTGAGCACACTAATGAAAAGGTCCGTGTTTTAAAGCTCAGTGGGAGTTCATCCCCAAGAGCCCTCAGCGGGCGTTCCAAGCCTCCAAGGGTCCTCAGTGGGGGCGCTCCTAGCCTCCAAGAGTCTTCAACGGGCGCTCCAAGCCTCCAAGAGCCCTCAGCTGGCACTCCAAGCCTCCAAGAGCTGCAGTGGGCGGCCCCCTCAGAGGTTGTTCCTGAGTCGCAGTGGGCGGCCCCCTCCGAGGTTGTTCGTGAGCCGCAGTCGGTGGCCCCTTCCGAGGTTGTTTCAGTGACGCAGTGGGCGGCCCCCTCCAAGGTTGTTCTAGTGCTGCAGTGGGCAGCCCCCAAGACGGCTGCTACTGCGTCAGAGACGGCGTCCCCCAAGGTGGCTGTGGCTGCGTCATAGAAGACTTCCCCCAAGGCAGCTGCTGCTGCGACAGAGACTCTGCGTCGCTTCCGGCCTCCTCCAGAGGCCCTCCTTCTTCAGAGACTCTGCCTCACCTCCGGCCTCCTCCAGACGCCCTCCTTCGTCAGAGACTCAGCCTCGCCTCCGGCCCCACGGCCGGCCTACAGAGACTTCTGATTGCCCTCGCTCACCTTTGGTGTGTTGATTGTTTTTTAGACTCTGTCTTTTGGTTTTGTGTTTCATGCCCTCCTTCCTCGTTCCCCCTCCGCCCACCCTGGGTGAGTTTTTTTTTTGTTTCTGGACATTTTAGGGCCTCTGGGATACGCCCTTAAGTTGGGGGTACGGTCATGGTCTTGGTTCTGTTGTGCTTTACTTTGTTCCATGTTTTCCAGTTTTATTGGGTTAATTCCTATTTTGTTATAGTGTCTAGATTTATGTTATTTCTCAGGTTTTTCTGTTGTTGTCCTCTTTTGCCCACCTTTTTGCCCTCTTGTGTGTGTTCCTTTCCCCATGGCTTCCTCGTTGTCTCCACTCACACCTGCTCCTTATCCGCTCGTTAGCCCTGCCTTTGTCTCAGTCAGCTATATAGACTCTCCCTCTGCTGTCACTTCTTGTTCGCTACTTGTCATTGCTGGTTTCTCATGCTGTTGTCTTCCTACCTCATCTCACCTTGGCTTCTCGTGTTTGGTTTCCCCTGATGTCTCCATGGTTCTGGTTTGCTTTACATTTTAGTTGGATTTTTGGATTCCTGCCTTGGTTAACCGTTTTCATCATTAAACTGCAAGAAATCTCCTCAGCCTCTCTGCCTCTGCATTTGGGTCCTCTAAACCACAACCAAACCCTGACAAACTTGAACTATTTTATTTATAGAATTATGAACTTAGTTAATTTTTTTTATAAGGGAACTATGAACATGAGCTACTTAATTTTAATCTATGTTAACTGAACTCTGAGCTTGTTCTTTTTAATTATGAACCAACACAACATTGCCCAGAATTACAGGGCTGCAGCTGTGGGATTTCATTGTAATGAGCCTCTCCTGAACACTATCAAACATTTCTTACCTTGGCTCAGCAGAAAAATATATTGAGATACGTATGTTCACTAGTCTAAAAACCTCTTTTTACATGGAAATTTATCTTTGCATACTCATGTCCAATGTTAATGCAGCTATTTAATAAGAAATTTCAAGGTAGTTCTTGACTCCTTTTATTATTAACCTTTATTAAAATTCTGTTTGAGCAGGACATTGCATCTCCTCAGTTTGCCTTCCGTCAAAAACCTTGTTTTACGACCCCAGTTTCACCGTTTGTCTGGCTAGCAGACTGAACTGAAATACACGTCATAGACAATGTTTGGAGTTTTGTTTAGATGGAATGAAGAGAAACCAAAAATCCATACCAGCTGAAGTTCGCTACAATCACCGATTCACAGATTCCCTCCATATTTCTGGGTATTTATGAAGCTGTTTTGTGGTAGCCTAGAAAACTAGCCCCACCCGCCAGTGGCCAAAATCATTTTTGCCTTTGAGTTGGTCTAGCCTCGATCAATGCCCCAGGCCCTAAACCTGGCAGCCAGTCACACAGCAGAGATGTGTTTTGAATGTCTGGATGACAAAGCGGGTGGGGTTTTGAGGGCATGACGACAAACCTGCACGACGCTGAAGAAAGCACAACAGTAGCATGGACTGCGGCAGCAGCAACTTTCAATGGAGCGCTGCATTGAAAGTTAAAAGTTCTCTTTCTTTTGCTGTTGCTGAATAAATGTATGTTTTAAGATAATTTGAGGCGATAATATTATACTCTAAAGCGTCATCATATGGTCCATTTACCGATTTAATGCTTAATTAAAAAAATAATTTCCGAAGTTAAGAAGACCAGCTGAGCTGAGCTCCAAAGCTAACGGCAGCCAGGGCTCGGCACAGTTGTGTGTGAAGGACCGCTGGCTCTAACGGCGATTTTTGACTCAGCTTTGGAATCAGTTTTGGAAGGATTAGACTTGCCATTTTCGTTGAAACGTGAGCAGGAAAAGGCTCTACGCTCATTCATTTTTGAGAAGGACGTATTCGCTGTTTGAACGACAAGCTGTTTGTTTACATTCCCCCACCAGCTTCCTGTCGCGATTCCTACGTCACAGTCAGTTCTGCTCATTGGTCAGAGTGTTGGCCAATAGGCACAGACATGGTTTGAAAAACAACGGGTTGTTCTCATCAACAATCTTCCGATGTCTCATTCATTGAGGCCAGACTAAATAACACCACTCATCTCTCATTTAGTCAGGCTAGTTTTGTGGTATTGTACATTAAGTGTATGTACTGTGAACTACATTTGTACTATGGGCCACAATAAAAAAAAAATAAGCAGGAATGATATTTTTAAAACTAAGACTGTGTCATGGATCTCTTTTTAAATGGAATTGATTAGACAAGCAGGCTTATTCACTACCGGTATATTAAAATTTACAGACCCACTTTGTAGTACATCGTACTGATTTGTTAGTATGCATGTTCTACAAATGAAGAATAAAATGAGATATCTACTGTTTTCTAGATGTCTCTTCCCCTCCGATAAGAGGTTTGAGCCATTTGTAATCCCTCATTCCTTCAGGAATCATGACGTACTTTATACCCTGTGAAAACACAAAGAATATCAATAGTGATATTTATTTTATGCTTCATGGAAAAACTAGCAAACACTGACAGACATTATAGCTTTAGTACCTCATCATGTGGAGCTGATGTGTATCCATACTTCCTAAATATATAAAGTGAGGCAGTGATTGAGTGAGATGTGTGAACATACACCGATGTTCTGTTTCCCACATCCTCCTCATAACCTTTGATCACTGCACCATTCATTCTGTCAAAAAAACACATGGGTACATTCAGGTGTTGCTTTAAGATCACATCTGACATCACAATCCTTTTCTAGGAATTTTAAAGCCTCAAGTTACAAACTTGCTCAAATGACAACAAATCCTGAGTGTTGCCACTTTAGTAATAATCCCAAATTTATATCCCAAAAATCCCAAAATAATATGTTTCCACCACGTTAAACAGTAGATGAGAAGGCTTTGTTCCAAAACTATTTTTGTGAAGTTGTTGTAAAATTAACCACAACAACTTGTAACGCTGCATTAAAGGAAGGAACATGACAACCTTGGAGGTACTATGTTGATTCATTTAACAATCTTACTATTAAAGTCAACTCTTGTGATTTGCAAACCTCTTGTTTCCGGTTAAATGAAAGAGAGATCTTCCAGGAAGAATGATATTAATTGGTTTTTGGGTCACACCATCAAATCTATGAATTTTGATCTTTACAATCATTTCGAAGCTGACTTCAATCTTATAAAAACCATTGGGGATTAAATAAAGCAGGGGCTGCAATTGTTGTGTTCTTATCTATCTGTGATTCCATCCTGTGGAAGATGATAACAGAATAGTTAAAGTTCATATTGCTGGAAACAAAGGTTCCCACAAGAAGAGTAGGATGTCATTGAAGTTCATGTAAATGTAGACAAATACTTTGGCAATATAGTTTAGTTTCTAGACTGGTCACCTATTAAAGTGGGAGTGTGGGAGTGTTGGCCTAGTGGTTAGAGCAGTGTGCTTGTGCTCTGAGAAGGTTGCAAGTACCCGCTTTGATCACCACAGCCTCCACTCTGGGATCCAGGGCAAAACCCTTAACGCCACGTTGCTCCCCGGGTACTGCACAAAGGCAGCCCATCGCTCCCCAAGGGGATGGGTCAAATGCCGAGAAAGAATTTCCCCATTGTGGGACAATAAAGATAATATTTTTATTACCACAATAGCAATATGTTTTTATTCCATTTGCATACCACATCACTGTGACCAACTTGAAAATATGTTAAATTCTTAAAGGTAACTCTCAGTTAACTTGTTTAATATCCTCACTTATAAACAACAAAAATAGCCTGTTTGGTGCGTTATTAACTTACCGAAAGACGTAGTCATGTGCATCAATCTCAGCTCCCATTTTTGAGCCGTTTAAGATACCTGCAGTTCCCACCACAGCACAGTGGATACAGCCATCCCCGCCAGGTTTTGGGCGGAGTAGCGGTTCTTTTGGCTTTGGGATGAGCTTCAACACAGGCATAACATCTGCAAAACATCTTATAAAAATCAGCAGCTGGATTGCAGCATAACAAGCCCTTCACATCTCAAATATTACAGGAAGTTTAGGCTTGATGAAATTCAACCCTGATGACAAAGGTCATTTCAATCTGGAGACTCACACAGAGACAAGTCGCAATCAGAAAATATTAAATATATTAACACAGGTAAAACAATCATGTTCTTCAAGATATTTCCATTAAAGGAAAACCAGCTGATTGCGAGGACTCATTGACTCTTTGCAATCCCTCGCACTGAGCATACATATAGCGATGGTGGAGAGGAAACTCCCTTTAACAGTAAGAAACCTCCAGCATAACCAGGCTCAGTGTGAGCGGCTTTCTGCCAAGACCAACTAGGGTTCCAGGAGGCAGAAGCAGATAAAGACATAAACGAAATAAGTTATTTGGTGCTTGGGCCCAGCAGAAGACTTTGATGCTGTAAATCAACATTTGCTTGAATTAGTAACCTAGAAAATGATTAGAGTAGTCTGCCCCTGGGGCCTGGATACTGGTTGTAGAATAAGCCAGAGGATTTGTAGGACTAGGAATTAGGGAGGAGATGGGGTGGAGGTGGGTGAAAGTTTGCTTGCATTCGGGAGAGAGAAGCTGGGCAAGGAGCTAAATGAAGGGGATCTTGCAAGATTACTGGCTTTGGAGAAGGTGCGCCCCCCCCGAGCTGATTGGATAGAGCTGAATGAGGGACATCGCAGGTGGTTTAGGGGAAGGTGACAGGAGTCTTCCAGATTGAATTTACATTTAAGCTTCATTGGTTTTAACAGTTTGAATCTATTATCTTTTAGTTCTACGCTGTTGCAGTTTGTAACCCTTGTCAACACTATTTAAAGCTGTAGGTTTGTGATCTCAGCCTTTGCCCTAAACAGATATTATTTCTCTTCAGTGTTATCCTGAGTACACAATCACACATGCCAAAGATTACCTCTAAAGATATGCTAAGAGATAAGATAAGAAGAGATAAGAAGTTGGGGCATTCAGCAGGAGGTTGTGGAATACATTATATTACATGTTTTAGTGTTGCTCTGCAGCTGAGAACTTCTGGAGATGTTCAAAAATCAGAGCACATTGTACTTAGGTCAGAAATCTGAAAACAGACTCGAGATCATTGCCTTCACTAACCATTGTTTATTTTCCCTTCCCTTTCATGCGAATTCCCTGATTTGAGTGGACCGCTCTCTCAATGCTTGATTCAGATCTGGAAGTGCTGCACCGCTCCCCGCCCCCTAACCCTAATAACCCATCATGTGAGCTGCTATCATCAAAGGCTTGCTCCTACAGAACAGGACAGAAAACAAAGTGCATAAAAAAAGCATTTTCTGTCTCTCAATGTTCAAAGTGGTGGGGAAGGGGTTCTACGTATATTAGTCTTGGACAAGGGAGGAGTGCCACTCAACAATAAGGCTTTTCCTTCTTCAGGCACAATATTATTTTTGAAAAATTCAGTAATTTTTTTTTTTTTTTTTTTCAAAACTGATATTAGAAACAGTTTGAGATGTAAATCGGTTTAGACTCAGGAGGAGGTGGCATCCAGGAATGAACTGCCTGCAGAAAGCAGTTGTTCAATAAGGGAAAATGGAATATTGATTTAACTTTTTATTTTTCCACAGAATTTCAACAATGCAAACAAAAGCCTTATAAGTGTATCACTTGGATTCCTTTCTAAATCTTGCAATTAAGTAAATGCTTAGTAAAAGCTTGCTGACAGACTGACTTTCATTACATTGCAGAGCTTTTTTGACTGACCAGAGGAAGAAGAAAACAGAAATCATTAAAGGATGCACAGGTATGAATACATAAAAAAAACCCAAATATAAATATATATTGAAAATTATGACATAATAAATTCATAAATAAGGTTATTATTACAAACAGAAATAAATATTAATCTAAATAAGAGGGATTTATACATTTATCTTTTCATTATATAATTTTGTTACTGCTTACATTTATACATAATACTTAATTTTGGGAGAATCATATTGAATGCCTTTTTATTTTTTGAGTATTAATTTATTTCTGCATATACTCTCGACCTGTTCAGAGTTGGTCTGCAGTATACGGTAAATAATCTAAAAATATTTAACAGCAGAAATTGTCATGTGGATTCCACATTACACTCGAAGGAGAGATATTTGAGTAGCAGGTTGGATTGTCTTCAAAAGGCTCCTACTGTCTATAAAAAAAATCTTCCACTGATTTATTATCACAATAATTTATTATCTTTCCCCCACTTTATATGCTATGATTTTATACCAACTACTGTTTCCAGGATTTTACTTCAGGCAGTCATGAAGAAAACAGAAAAAAATGTGGAAGAGCTGTTTTAATAATTAACTAAGACTGCGGTACACCCATCCAACAAGCAGAACCTGTGCTCACAAAGTTGAATGCTGACGGGGATGGGGGGGTTCAGCGGGAACAGAGAAGCTAGAATGAGATGGTGAGAATATGTGATTAAAACCACAGACATATATACATAGATGCCTCATTGGGTGCAGATTCACACGTTGACGTAACTGAAATATTGTATGTGGCAGAAAGTAAACATCTGTTGTAGTGAACTTCAATCGGCTCTGCAAAAAATAAAATGCAGCCAAAGGGTTATGAAATAAACTCATAATATTATAAATAAAAACATTAAGAATATAAATTGTAAACTGAGATTAAAGTGCCTCTGATACTGTTTAAGCGTCTGAGTCTATCAGCAGCAGCACCACATTCAACATGGTGGAAGCTCTGACTCATCTGCAGCGGAGGCAAACCCCGTCCAACGAGACATCCATGTAAACACTGTCTATGACTACAACTGGGCCTGGAAAAATACCTGCTGGACGGTTGAAAAGAACAGGGCAGACTGAGGCGGAGCTTCACCTCCCAGCAGGTGAAAAGAGCTAAACAAACAGAGTCCCCATAGAATAGCTCAGAACAAATGCAGTAATACATACATCAGAACAAGTACAGTACTCATCGAATAGAATGGCTCAGTCAATATCCACACCTAAATACAAATATTCTGTTTAGGTTCTCTATCATATTGCCAGGGGTTTAGGTTTGCTGAGCACCCAGATTAGCAGGCATGATACATTTCAGTTTTCTACATACATTTTCAAAATTTATGAAATGTGCTCAGTACCAATTACTGACTCCATTATTGACTAATGCATCATATCTTTTGCCAAATACTGGACAAACAAAGCAGAAAGCGAAATTATTTTTAGAAGAATATTCCAATCATTTAAAGCCTTTAAACCAGTTTTCATGAAAGGCTCTTTTTTGTGTGCCAAACTGGGTGAGTGAATACTAGAAGAGTTCTAACGGTTTAGGACCAATAGTCTTATCCCGTAAATCAAAGGCAGATTTTGAGATCCGTTGGACTGGTGGCTGGTCTACTGCTCTCTCTTTGTCTCCTCTTCTCTTTCCCTGCTCTGCTCTGTCTCACCCCCCTGTTCTTCCTCTCATTGTACAGTGAAATTAACAAAGTAGATAATTAGGAAAATGTAACAAAGATTTCATGTTTCGCCTCTCAAAACACACTGCTTTAAAGCGTTTACAACTAATAACTCAGAATGCCTTTATTACTGCTGTTCAAAAAAGACCTATTATTTTCGAGAATAAAAAACTACTGCAAGTTATGTTTGAACTGAAGCAGTTTAAGCTGTGCATTAGTCAAATTATTTTCATTTATATTTCTAGAAACTAGATGGTGGTAGCTTTCAAATAATGTATCACACAAGTAATTTGGGGTTATAGTTCCTAAGTTTTTTGCTTTTCCATTGGGTTTGCAAACGAGGCGAGAATTTCCCAAAATTGGTGGATGTTATTAAACAGAAGTCCACTGAGATGTTATGTGTATTTATGCTTCTGGAAACCATTTAATATGGGGCAATCATATTACTACTCTGACATGTAAAATCATCCACTAAATGGAAGGTTGTTTTTTTTTTTTTTTTGTCAGAATAACAAATGCTGTTTGGCCTGCCACTATTTGGATTGTTTTCCTGACCTTGTACTTTTCACACAACTTGCTGCTGTTCTCCCCTTTTAGCAAAATGGATTGTATTTAACTGGATTAATATATGCAGATGTGCCATATGCTTAAACATTGAGACACTCTCCCATTAAAGAAAAGGCTAAATTCACAACAGCAATTCCAATAGCAAGAAATTGAAAAAAATAAAATAAAAAGAGATTATGATAAAGTAAATTTAAAATTGATCTTGAATTGTTGTTTTAAAAACATAACAAGAAAAACAAGCTAATCCCAGACACATTACAGCAGCCATTCTCAACCTTGGGGTTCTGACCCCAATTGGGGTCTAGGGGTGTAAAATGATCATTTTGTATCGATGCATCGATCCAACAGCCAACGATCCGATGCATCGACATGTCTGCAAGAGTATCGATTCATGTTTTTTTTTTTCCCTCCAGTCTATTTTCATCCATTTGCTCCACACAGATTTTAAGACAGAATTTTTGTTTCAAATAGCTATTTTCTAAATTTTAGGACAGTATCGTCTGATAAAGAGTACATTTATATACATGTTTAAGCCAGAAGTATTTGACATTTAAATATGATTTCCCTATGACTTCAAGAAAAGCCTGGAGCGGTGGGCTGTGCGATTGGAATGCTAAAATTATGAAAGTTAGCCACAGCTTTAGGCCTTTATGCAGAGTTATGACATAACCGTTCCATTATGAAATAAATGATTGTCTCTTGAAAGTTTCAATAAATAAAATATTATTCTTTAAATCAAGTACTGTAGTGTTTTATGCTTTTATTGTTTTTTTTTATTTTAAAAAGTGCATACAGTATGAGAAAAAAACACTCCAGTTTTAGGGGTGTCATAAAACCGGACAGATGGACCCAGAATTCAGGCAAGTCAGACAGTGGGAAGTTTTAAAACTAATGACAGAAATTAAAACAAAACTGAATAGAAACGCGGGCTGCTGTGGATAAAGCAGAAATGCAGCAGCTGGAGGAAGGCAGGATCCAGCCGATAGACTGCCAAACGAGATGTGGCGCAAGGAGCCGCTCAGAGTGTCCCCGATGCAGCAACCCCAGCGAGCAGGCAGAAATCTGATCCTAAGAGCCAGGCTTACGGGACTAAAACTGAACTCCACCCAGTTCCGAGCCAAAACTTCGAGGACTCCGTGGAAAAGGGCCAGAACCCGGGCTGCCCCTGCACGGGGAGCAAGTGAATAAGATGAATGATAATTAGAGAGCGGGGAGGGAACAGCAGGTGAATGAGGTGAGTGATTAGATCAGCTACCGGGGCTGCGATCATGACAAGGGGAGCTTTGATTTAATTTAGGGGCACTTCAGCACCCCCCAAAAATGGGCTAACGTCTCTGCTTATCGCCTCAAAAGTAATTAATTATTTATTTTACTCACACATTTGTAGCACTATCTAAGCAAACACCTACCTTCATACTTCATATCCATGAAACCAAAAGGATTGTTGAAATGTGATAGTCGATTCCACTCTCTCATGTTGATGTTATCTTTGTGCAGAAACATGCGTATGTTGGGAAGGAAGGCTTTCTGGAAGTCCTCATCCCTGGAGTTACGCAAAGACTGGGAACATGTCTGTGTTTGAGACCGGGTTAGAAAGTGAGATTTAAGATTGTCAAACATTTATTCAACTGGAGCTACTATGAGTTTAAGTTTCAATGTACACTTAGCTATTAATAGCCTAATGCCAATGGTGCATACAGACAAAGAATGAAGCAGCACCAAAAGCAAACAAGTGAAGACGGGACCAAGCAGACCCTAATATTGATATTAGCTTCTTTTTTCTAAGTGATTTTCTACAGTATACTCACATTAGGTCTAGGGGGGGCATCTAAATTGTAAATATCCTCAAAGTTCCACTTAGGAAGCTTTTTGAAGGAACTTTTGTGTATAATTGGAATGGGATATTCTGCAGACATATTCTTCTTATCAGTCTCTGGCTCTGAATCCCTTGTTGATGTTTCAGCAGTTCTTGAAGACTGTGTTGCATTGAGCCAAGATGTCAAAAGGTTTCCTTCATTTTGACGTAGCCCTTCATTTTCATAGCTTCCTCCTCTGATTCCCTTTATTTCTGGCATAGCCTTCCATCTGTATCTGAATTTTAATAAATATGCAAATGTAACAAGAAAGATCCTTAGCAAGTAAAAAACAAAGGAAAACTACATATTTATATAATTTGAAACACTTACCTTATGCTAGCAGGTAAATTTTCTTGAGACATCATGAAAAGAATAATGCTGAGTAAAATCACCATTACAAAGCAAAACAGTGCAACTGTTTTATGAACCATTCTTGCGAAGCTGAGGCGTTGAAAATGTGGACGAGACTATGGTTGATGAGTAAATATTTACCGAAGGAAACCTTAAACTGGCTCTTAACATGACAGCGGAAAAGTCAAACAAGTACAGCCAGTAAGATCAGGTGTGGAATTTGGGGAAAGTCAGAGAAGCTCTGTGAGGATTTTTGCCCTCTGAAGCTGAGGATATCCCTACATAATAGGACAGAATTCAAAGTTAATAATAAAGAAACTTTAATCAAAGAACACAAACTAGATCCAATTCAAAATAGATCAAAACAATTTTTAGCAATATGTATGCCTCTGATATGTATAACATTTAGTAATAATCCATGTTTTTCCATTTTGGATTTATCATTACAAAATTATGAAATTGTTTTTATACCTACTTTTTAATATATCTGTTTGTACTTCGGTTAATCTCTATAAGTATTACACAATGTCACTTCCTTAAAATCCCCCCCATCTCTTTCAGTAAACATTTCCTGAATTATGTTCGCAATACATTATGTCCTACTTCGTACAATACCTTTAATTTTTTTTTATTTAAAGAAATCCAAATTTTTTAACATGTTTACATTTATAAATAATAGGTATGTGTATTCTTTGCAACCTACATTTGAACATAGAATACAGAGATTCAAAATCCAGATTATGGCTTATTGTTAACTATTTGTACTTTAATTAATATATTTTAATTGACAAATGCTATTAAAGTCTGAAAATGCCACGGTTTTTTTGTTCACCAAACGTGTCTCATCAAAAGTAGTGGTGAGGATTAGAGGGCGAAGGAGAAATTCACCCATGGCTGGAAAAACCCGTTGCCACAGAACACGTACGCTGATGTAATTTTTTGATAACAACATTGAAGCATTTTCCAGAAAAAAAACATGTCAGATTTAACAAAAATATTGCATCCTATCAAGGAATATTTCGTGAATTAAATGAGAACCCTTTCAGTTTTTTTAACATTAACTAGAAATTTTTACTTTCTTTGGCATTAAAATGTGTTTTACTGTGACGTTCAAACATTAAATAGACTGTATTAATCCTTCATGCCCTTTCAATTTCTGACAACCTGCTCTGCTTGCTGTGTGCAAACACCTCACACAAAAGATGCACATACTGTAGTTTGATCACTAGGCAACGGATTGCATTCAAGTTGAGACACAATTGTATTGAGATTAATCAACTAAGCTTAACATCTCACGAAGGACGGTGTGAAGAATCTTGACTTTAATGATTGATATGCTGTGAGGTTTAGTCTTAAAACAACATAGTACAAGAAAAACAAAACAAAACAAACAGTAAAAAATATATGGCTTCTATTCACATATATATCTTGATAAAAGAAAAAAATTAATTTCTTCTGTCCAAGATTGAATCTCATTAATTACCTCTGCCAAGGACGCTTTGTTTTTAGCAGAGTTTGTGTGTGTGTTTTTCTGTCTGTGTACAGGATAACTTAAAGAGTTATGAAAAGATTTTAAAGGAGTTATTTTTACCAGAGGTGTGCATCATGCCGGGTAACAATTCATTTAAATTTGCTGGTGATTCAGATCATGTGTGACTTTTTGCTATAGTTGTAAGTCACCTATAGTTGGGCATTTTCAATTGGGGTAAAAAAAAAAAAAAAAAGACAACTCACTTTGATCATGTCACCTCTTGATAACATGGATAACATTTTACTTCATTTTATTTGCTGTAAAAGTACAGAAACACATTCAAGGATGAGAAATCTTAAAGGTGTAATCACAGCGCTTTCCATTACACCTCCCATTAAAGAAAATGATCAATTCACAGCAGTAATTCAGCTTAAACAAAACTGAAAAAGTGACAGTAAATAAAAATGTACTAAATGTTAGTTTAGTTTAGATTTGGAATTTTTGTTTGAAAAAAATAATTCCAAAAGAGAAATTGTCCCACACAAATTAAAGTACCTTGCTCATTAACAGTCTTAGTGAACAATTCCTAAACATTACGTCAACATAATCACCTTAAATGATCCATATCTCTAAAGCTCCCTAAATAAGTCTAATTTTAATGCCGTTTCCATTTTTCTCAGTTATTGTGTCTTATCTGAAATGATAATCGTTTTCCTAAGGTTATGTACAAATTTTTGAAAACATTCGACAATAGTGGTGCAATAACAAGTATATGTCGAAAGATTAGACCGATTTTTACAGAAACCAGAGTGTGCATTTAGTGCAGTGCACAAGGCCAAATCTGCCAATGTTCATAACTGCACATGTCAGATCGGGTGGGGGTTTGAGGAGGACCCAAATGCAGAGACTGAAGCTGAAGTGGTTTCTTGCAGGTTTAATAACAAAAAGCGTAACAGAAGCAGAAGTCAAACTAACAAAATCCACAAAGTCCAAAAATACCTAAGACCAGAAATGAGTGGTGTTATGAGACGAAGCAGAGGCTTTGAGGCGTGTGTCGAGGAGTGAAGGGGGCGTTTCCACGAGGCACATATCGAGGCTTGCTTCATTTGGGGGGAGGAGCCAAAATAGATGACGTCCGAAGCCTCGCTACCCCGCCATATCATGTGACCGCTTCTGGAAGTGGTTCAGCTAGCCCAGAACTTTGGCAGGCATTTAAAGAGCCTGTGTTCAGTCAGGATGTGAGAGTTTCTAGGAGAAATGCAGTCAGTTGGATAGAGTTTGGATCTATTCTAAGAATAGAATACTTGTAAAAACAACCAATCTAGTTGGTTAAAAATATTTTGGTTAGATTAAACAATGTAATGATCATAATCTGAGAAAGCTTTTGGTTACAGTTGTAATATTGGTTTTAAGTAGTATTGCTTTTTCATTTGCTGTTACCATGCCAGTGGCATAAGCTGTAAGACATTGACTTCCATTCCATAGGTTGATAGATCATATCCCATCACTTTTGAAAGTTACGATTAGACTTAACAAGCATTTTGGCTAATGTGACTAATTTGTATTGGTTTGCCCTTGTACAAGTTGCCAAAGTTGGTTGGTTCAACACATAACTTCCAACTCAATTAAAACCAAATTAAAACTTAAATATTTTTTCTTTTCTAAGACATTACAAAAGACTTTATTATACACACCAATCCATAACAATTTCAAAGGAACTTAAAGGGGGAAAGAAAACAAGAAAACAATCACAGATTACTAACTGTAGTTATGCACTCCACTAAAGGGTAGTGACATGTTCACATGAAGCTTCATGAACTGTGGAGATCATTGAAGCTATTAGCCAAAACGGTTAAATGCCTGCCATGCCATGGACTGGCGACCTGTCCAGGGTGTACCCCGCCTCTCGCCCATAGACAGCTGGAGTTAGGCACCAGCACCCTTTGCGACCCCGGTTGGAATAAGCGTGATGGATGGATGGTTCAATGCCTCATAGATGTTCATCTCACCATCACCACCAGAAATACTCACAACAAGGGGGCAAAGAAATGAAGACAAACCAGCAACAGTGACTGTGCAGGAGCTGCATATATGGGAGAGGAAAACAAAGATCAGGCTAATCAGCAGATTGGGAGCAGGTTCAAACAGAGGAGTCTAGAAGGGAGCTAGGGAAAATGAGACTGACATAAGAGAGGCAATAGAGGGCAAACAAGAAATTAATAAAAACTCAAATACAATAAAAAATAACTAGAACAACACAAAATGGAGATAAAACCAACTAAAATTCAAAGATAAAACTTAAACAGAACCAAAACAAAGACAGTACAAAGCAGCTGTTGCTTATTATTGACAATCTGTCATCCTGAACCTAATATTGTCAGGATGTAGACAATAAATTAAAGGTATAGAGGAAGATTTTCTTCTTCCGGGTGGATCATCAAAATAAGTGGTCCGTCCAACTATGAATCATTCTGGTGACATTTTTACATAAGGCCGTCCTATATGCTCGTCCCTATTTTCACTATGTCAGTCTGACATAGTGGAAAATTTGCAAATCTTCTTTTGGAAAGTAAGCTTGCATCAGAGATGCAAAAATCAAATTTTAAACAGTGTACACAAGAGAAAAAGGGCTTGTGCATACTCTTGCGTGCGTTTAATAGGTGTACCCTCTTTTTTTTTCAAAGTGGAGAGGGCGGGTTTTTTTTCCAAAATCCTCCATTATACTTTTAACAGTTACATTTGATAGAGCATACTTTCGGCCTAACTGGAACTACTCCACCTTCATGTCAGAACCACTTCCTCAAATTATTGTAAGACAACACCTTGCCCATAAAACCTCACAGTCACATGTTTTTAAACAATACTATGTAACCTCTTCATAGTATTTTGCTAACTAATTCAAATTATCAAGATAGGCATGTTAACATTCATCTGAGTTATTTTTTTTTCTTGGTTTCAGTAAAAATGTTGGTAAATGCTTCAAGTTTACTATAAAGTCAATAATTAACTAATCAACCATTTTGCCTAATGTGGGTTAACTTTAGGTGCCCCTGATAACAAAAATCTAGTTAGCAATAAACTTATCCTAAAAAAAAAAAATGCTGAACAACAGAAAATCATATCTACATTGATAACTACCTTAGGTAATTTATTTTTATATACATTTATCTGAATGAATGTGTCTTTATATTCATGGAGTGTAGAACTTGCTGCAGAGCTGACAGCTACCCTGCCATGTTATGGGAACTGAACATCAACTCCTTCACCAAGAAAGCCCAGAAGAGGAGGTACTTCCAGCGGCAGCTGAAAAACTTCAACCTGCCCAGGACAATGGTGCACTTCTACTCCTCCATCCTCACCTCTTCCATCACCATCTGTTACGCTGGTGCCAGCGCCAAGGACAAGGGCAGAATGCAGTGTGTCATCCGGTCTGCAGAGAAGGTGATTGGCTGCAATCTTCCATCTCTCCAGAACCTGTATGCCTCCAGCAGTGGCGGCTGGTGAAAAATATTTTTGGTGGGGCTGATATAGCCTAGTGTATGTCTCCAACTAATCCAGAGTAAGAATTCAAATAAACAATTGGACAATAAATACAATTTAACAGTAATGATTTAATTTACTATATAATAACAGTAACAGTGATGATTTGGGTCACTGTGACCGGGTTCTTTGGCCTCCAAGAATCCAGGCTCAGTCGGGTTACCGGTGTTGGTGATTTATTGTGCTCAAAAACTCAAAACAGGGTGCAAAAGAAACTAGACATATACAAGATACTCTGGGCCTCAGCCTCCCTCCAGTTACCAGCAATGTAACAAAGAAACAGAAAACAGAAATGGCCGCTCTTCTTCCCACAGCCCTCATTAAATAGTTTAAGCCCCTCACCTTAGGCTCTCTTATTTCTGATTTCTTCTCATAAATCAGTTTTGCTCATATATTACCTCCACAAACAATTGATATACAAAAACAAATAACACAAATAACTTAATTCCTTTACACAGATTCATTGACTTATTCAATTACACCAAACTTTTAAACATAAAATAAAAAAATAATAATAATCTGACAAACATTTAGATTACAAATAATAATCTGACAAACAACATGAGTCACGTGTTGGTGCTGTCACTTCCGCATTCCAACAACTCTGGCGTTTTAACCGCTTACTGATCACACACACAATAAATAAGGATCTCACCGAATTTGATGGAAGCTGCATCTCGTTCGTTACATTCGCCATCGTCCCTCTAATTGTCTGCACCTGCGCATTGGGTGCAGAAGCCTGTTAAAGGGCAGTATTTTCAGCGCCCCAAGACCATAAAATTCTGAGACGCTGATTGGCCATTAAATTATTAAATTGAGCTAGCAATAGTACATGATTAGCAGATTCTCTGAACATGTGGGGCAGTCTAATCGCAGCCCCAAGACAGAGACGGTAGGAGTCTGTCTGTGGAAATCCACAAATTAATGACAGTAGGTTGGGAAATGTAGTTTATATAATTTGTTTTGCTTATAGGTACACACTCTAGAGAGTAAAACTGACATTTATGAGTTAATTTGTAAAAATATATTTTAAGTTTCTCTCTTCTTATCAGGGAGGGCGGTGCCCCAGTGCCCCCTATGGGCCGGCCGCAACTGGCCTCCAGGACTCTGAGGCGTGCAGGGAAGATTGTGGCTGATCCCTCGCACCCCAGCCACAAACTATTTCAAACACTTCCCCTGGAAGGAGGCGGTTGTCCATCATGACAAAAAAACTCCCGCCAAAAGAACAGTTTCTTCCCATCTGCTACCAGCCTTATCAACAAGGCCCAGAGAAGCCCATGACATTGTAACTGCCTTTCTCCCTCCCCCATTCAGGACCTTTAAACTACACCAACGTAGCATCTCCAGACCTCCTGCGTTACATTAACTCACAGCCTACCTTGTATATAGTATATTGCATGTTTTTTATTGCATATAGCTATGGATTGTGTATTCTGTATATATTTCTGATTTGTCTGTACCATCAACACCAAGTCAAATTCTTTGTAAGTGCAAACCTACTTGGCAATGAACTTGATTCTGATTCTGATGATAGTTTTTATAATATTTTTTTGCTTTTAAAAACTAAACCTTTTAAAGGTTAGAGGAAACGGTTATAAATACATAAATAGAGATTTGTCATTTCTTTTTAAAACTTGCTTTATGCTGGAATGATGTATGTTAGTACAATGTTTTTATAACTTTAACCTGGTGAGAACTACTGTGGCAAAAATCAGAAACTCTTCAAATAAAAATGTATTAAAGAGAGGGAGATAGAAATACTTGTTATGAAGCAGAATTTATACGTTGCAAATGTTGTTGATCAGGTTGATAATCAGTTTGACCCGTTCCAGTGTGTTTATGGCTCTTCTGTTTTCTGCTGTGATTCACTTCCTTGAAACAGCTTTAAAATTTTTTTGTCATGGAGGCTCTTCCACAAATTCTTCTCCATAATGTAGTCATGATTTGCGAAGAAAACGACTTTGGTTTTCAAAAACTTTTGAAAGTAGTAGTTGGAGTATTTTGCATAATCTTCTGTCATGAATCCATATGCATCCACCTAGGGATGACAGAAAAGAGAGAAAACAGAAAGAAGAGTTGAAGGATCAAGTAGAAAAAAGTAATCATTGCAGAATCACTGCAAATTTTAAAATTTTCTCCTAATGGGAATGGGAACAATTGGACTTCAAAAACAACTTGCGGGTTGTAATTTTTCACCAAAGTATTTATTTTATGTACATGTTCAACTGGTGCTGTTTTAGCTATCTGTGCTGATACTCGTCATATTCTTTTTTTGAGAAGAAAAAATAAGTATTATCGATACTTGACCATATTTCCTGCCTTAAGACAGGGTATTTTGAGGGAAGAGCAGGACAACTGTATACGAATGAAATCAGGTTATGTAACATGCCATTCAGATTCTTTTAAAGTAGTGAAATGGACCTTAACATGAATGCTATGATTGTTAATTAACTTGACAGCCTCACCTCTATTTCCAATACCACTAGTGTGTACTATGATGAAGGTAGACCTACTGTGTCACAAATGTGCAGAGCCGTAAACAGAGCAAACGCCCCATTGGTTGGTCGGACAATGGCCCAGAACCCTTTATTAAGATTGACTGATTTTAAAAACCTGTGGGAAAAGAAAAGGTGTAAAGAAATAGTGATGTAAATGACGACCCATGAAAGAAATCCTAAAGTGAGATAAACATTTATTTAACACAGCCAGAAATCTCACTTAATTCCTTTTTTGTTGGATATGGAGTCCATTGTAAAAACCTAAGTAGTTCAATTACAAAAATTATAAAAGGTTATTTTAGCAGGTTTTAGTTTATCTAACAGATTTTTGGTGTCACGTAAAGCTAAGATTATTTATTATAAAAAAAGAAGAAGTGTACATAAAGGATGTTTATTTGGAAAGACTGACCTGTTGCGTATATATCGCAGAAAGTCTTGGTGCAGGACATAAAAGCGGGTCTCATTGTACTGTCCTGAATAGTACTTCCTAGCACTGCAGAGTGAAAACATAAAAGATGCTGATAACAAGAACAGAATGCTGAAAACTTTCTCTCAATAAAAGAAGATAATGCAAACATTACTAAACCTATTTTGGGCTAAAGCGATTTCTCAAATGATTCCATTACAAATACCTCCTGCTGAGAAAAAATAATGCCTGCTTCTCTTAACTCTGATTACTCCATAACGTTCAGGGGCCGAATATATTTTAAGGATGCTACATCGGTCACAGAACATACTTCCATCGGTGGGAGACGATAGATAACAAGACAACAATACAGTTTATTCCGAGGTTATAACCAAAAGCTTGAACAGGGAGTAAACAGCCAGACCACCAGGTCATGCTGTGGCATATTTGTGTGTTTTGATGGAGGCATTCTGATGGCATAGAAGTTATTATGAATGTAAGTTTTCGTTTTAGGCAAAAAAGAGGTGGTGTATACATATCTGATGCTTTATATCTCAAAGAAATATTGATTAATACTAAAGCTAAAGCCTTTAAATGCTGGTTGTCTTCTGTAGTTTAACCTGGTAGAATTATCTCAGTGTAACCATGAGAATAAATCAAAGGTATTTTTACAGGGTTTTGTAAAAATGTCTGCCAACACAAGTAAAATCTCAACCAATGTCCAATGATCATAAACAAAAAATGTGTGCAGTTTACAAAACATCTCTTGGGACTTTTAATGAGTTGTGAGTTTTGATCTCTCAACAATAAGCGTTTCAGCAACAAACTCTAAAAAGGTAGTGTAGGATGAATGAGATGAAAACTAACTCATGCCCACTGCTGTTTGTGGAAGATTTAAAATTCTATAGGCTGGCTTGGGTAAATATACAGTACCATACATTGACCACAGGTGTGCAAATAACTTTTTAAAAATTAGATTTTCTCTCCAATGAATGAGTTCAATCAAGTTAAAGCAGGCGTTAAGCATATTTGTTTTGTTTGAGCAAAGACATGTTTATCAGCATCCGGTCGCTGTGTGATGTAATAAAGTCAGTGCCTGCGAGTGCCACCGCCATTGTCTTCATATGTGTCTGATAAACGGCTGACTCTGGAGGAGTTAAGGAGTGCCAGCCAATGGAGAAGATGTCGTCCAGTGTTTCTCTCATGCTAAGCTAGTCCATAAAGTTTATCACTGTTTACCCAAAGTAAAATGCAAGTGCTGCTGTGCAGGGATGGCGAATATCCCCACAGCAGGCCTAGCCTGGGTCACCCAGTCTAATGGGAAGATGAAACAAGGACCTTCTATGCCATTTTAGCACTATGGGAATGGGGGGAATCAGCGTTAAGTTGGTTCAGAACTGCTTAAAAAGGTGCCAACAACAGATCGGGGGTTGATGTGCTGACAATAACAAGGTAACATTTTAAGCCTTGAGATTTTCTGCCTAAAAATATGCATCAAAATAAAACAACGCCACAGTAAACAATTAACAAACTTTTGTAAAGCTAACACAAAAAGTATTTTTTCAAGTCAAAGCCATATTGTTGATTCTTAATTTTTTTCTAATAAAACAGTAATTTATAGGTCTCTTTAGAGAGCTTCAACCCATACACAGAACACCTCTGACTTAAACAATTGATTTTTTTTTAAATATAATTAGATTTGATTGAAAGAAGAAATGTCTCATCATCGGGATTTGCTCCGTGATCAGAGGAAATGTTACTTGGCGCA